ACACACACACACACACACACACACACACACACACACACACAGTCTCTCAAGTCTCTCTGCGCACACACACACACACACACACAATTATAACATCGTAAACGGAAGACACCGTGTATGCAAAGAAGTACAGAACGGTCGGACTAATGGTGTGCTGCTCCCTGCAGGTAGCAGACGGCATGGCATACATTGAGCAGAAGAATTACATCCATAGGGACCTCCGAGCTGCCAACATTCTGGTGTCCCATGAGCTCATCTGTAAGGTAGCAGACTTTGGACTTGCCAGACTCATTGAGGACAGTGAATATACAGCAAGGGAGGGTAAGGAGACCAATTGATTTACTCCCTTTTAGCCTTTACTCACGTAGACAATTATGTAATATTTTGTGATATTACATTGTTCTACTGTTGTATACACACTGTTAATTTTTTTTGTCCATACTATAGCTCTCATGTTGCAGTTATTGCTCAACTGTGCCTGTAGAATATTTGACGACGATCACATTTTCTGTAGATAAGTATCGTAGAAAGGGTTCTGTCAGTCGTCATCTGTACCTGTGGGTAAAAAACAAAAAAAAACAAAAAAAAGCAAAAAAGGACGTTTCGCTTCTCTCACAGAAGCTTCGTCAGCGGTAGACAACCCTGAAGTCTCCGTGAAGACTCCGGGAAGTTGCTCTGCGCTAAAAAGCTGAGCGTGGCCTGTTTGAGGACTGGGTGGGGATGGTTAGTCACGCCCCTATTGGTTTATTAGAGGCCCATTGGTTTCTAAATTCCCTATCATTGGGTCTTGATTAGGCCTATTGTTTGGGCTAAGGCTGAATAGCTACTTTCAGTTAGCCTGATCAGCATGTCTATGTCCCTTACTGGTCAACAAGTTATTGTAAATAGGAGACAGGTTAAATCTGATACCTCCTTCACGGTTCAGAGAGGGTGAAAATTTTTTAACAAAAATCGCTTCTTTTACCCCCCTTTCAAACCATCTCTTTTCTGTTCCTAGGATTTTTACTTGTTCATCTTCAATTGTGTGGTTTGTTTCTTTTAAGTGTGCGTATACTGCACTTTTGTTATCATTGTTTTTCCATTTGTGTTGATAAAGTCTTTTCTTGAGTGTTTGTTTGGTTTCTCCAATGTAATGTTCCTTGCACTCACTTTCTTAGCAACGGATGGAATAAATCAGATTGCATTTTTGGGTGTTAG